CGTGGAAATTAATCGACGAATTATGAAAATTCAGAAACCAAATACGAAAAGCGAAAAATCGCTGGTTCGAATTGTCCCGCAACAACGATGACGACAGTGAATGTATTGTGTACCAACTCGTTGGACAGTCACGGCAGTACTGATTCAAAAAAGTTCCTCGGGAACCCTTATGTTTTCCAAAAACTCCGAAAGCGTGACAGGGTTGGAGGAGGAAGTCTGGCGGTAATGGAGGTGGAGATAGGAACGGAGGTGGAAGAAAAGCGGGTGAGGAATGAAGAGGAGAAGGAGGAGAGAGGGAGAGAGAGAGAGAGAGAGAGAGAGAGACCAAGGAAGAAGGAAGAGGGAAAAGAGAGAGCCTGCCATACGGAGAGAGTTCTCGGTGGGATGCACGGTGGGGGGGGGGGGGAGGGGACACAAGCTCGCGACCCGGACATACAAGTGAGAAAAAGAGTAGTGCGAGACGAAAGAGGAAGGGCACAGGAGAGGAAAAGATAGCGTGCGAGGAGAGAGATAGAAGAAAAGAAAAAGAAAAAAGGGAGACGGAAGGTATAGGGGGAGATCCGACAAATGGAATTTTAATCGCTATTAATTGCTGCATTGTCCGGCGGATCGTTCGGATTTATGAATGGTGGTACACCGAAAGGGGGGGATTAGCGACGAGCCGTGAGATCCACGCGAGGAAACGGGGAGACGAGATCGTCGCTTCGCCCCCTCTTGTCTCGTTCGTCTCTCTTGCTCTTTCGTTCTGTCCCCTCGCGAAGACACTCGCGGGATACCGGGGCCCACCGGTCCATCTCTGTCTCGCGACGTCGCCGAAGACAAACTCTCTTATCTTCTCTTGTCCTCTCTGTTTACATGCCCCGTCATGCCCTGCCTGCCCGTCGATCCTGCAACCGCGCCGCGACATGGTTGGCTGTCGCCGATGGTGGGGCCCCATGGAATCCAGTGGGAATCCATGTGTTTGCAGTGGGGGTTCCGGATGACGGACGTATCGCAGATGGCGCTGGAACGTTCCCCGCCGAGGAGGATACGAGTCGCTCCTGATCGGGGGAGACTAATTCTCGTCTCGCCGTCGCGTCGTTACGCGATGCCGTAACTATCCACGCCTTTACCGGTCTTGTCTTTTCGTTTTTTTCTCAGACAAAAATAGCCATCAGGTCAACGCGAGTATGCCCGTCTTTGAGTTGCCTTTTAAACTTTCCACCGTTAAACTTCCGCTATTTCTTCTGACGTCCTTCTAACCGCGACTCACGTGAGTCTTCGCCTCGGGATTTATCTTCGAATCTGCTATCTCTGCTTGTGTATCTTTTTGTATCTTACATATTCTGAGAAAGAATTTTAGAAGCTGATCTTTCCCTCAACACATTCTTTTTCGCTTTGAGATCGCAGGGTTAATTACGGAGACAAAGAAATAACGAGCGGTAGCGCGGAAAAATCCTGGGAGGGTCGAGAAGTTTATCACTGGTACAACGTATTGATGACCTCTAAATGTAATCAATTATCCGAGGGTATGGTATGCTGATTAGATAATATGCTCGTGAGATTCATGAATAGAGAGATAATGTAGGAGACGAGGCGAAACAGAGATGATTTTAGATCGAGCGCATAGACTGAGGTTCTCGATTTCTATAATAATCTTATTCACCAGATTCTCGTCCATGATCTTCTTCTTCTTCTTCTTCATCTTCTACTTTTCTCTCTCTCTCTCTCCCTCTTCTCTCTCTCTCTCTCTCTCTCTCTCTCTCTCTCTCTCTCTCTCTTGACATCTTACTTAATCGAAATTTACACGGGACCAGGTGATCTAGGTCAGCTCCTTTAATAAGTGGCGTCACAAAATACGTGTTTATATGAGAGATAGCTAAATTATATCCTAGAGATGAAGGCAGATCTACAGATAGTCCGAGGATAGATTTGTTAATCATGAAGCGAATATTAATCGCCTGCAAGAAGCACGAAAAATAGTCGCCCATCACATCATTTTATAATAGTTATAAGAGAACATTACTCGCGTGCATTGAGGGAGAAGTCACGGACGCACGAGGCGGCATCTAATTTGCACGTCCAAATCGATCTCGACGCAGTGAATTTGCGCGATCATGCGTAACGGCCGTTAACCGGATCGCACAACCGGCGTCGTCCCCACGAAGGGTGTAAACAACTCCCCGACAAGGGGGACTAAGCAAGATCGGAAAGATCAAGTAAGATCTGAAAACCGGAGCGAGAGATTAGAGAGTCTTCTACGCCGAGCAGAAAATAGATCCGCAATGGCTTATCTAGATGTTCTAAAAACTGGAACTGGCCGGTAAACACTGGCGGCGGATAAATCCAGTAATTCGGGAAGGCAAGGAGACGGATCAGATGACGCGTGTAAAAGCCCAAGACGGGGCCTCCGCATTCTTCCCTGGGAGCAAAATGAATTTTATAATCAGCAGATTAATATTCATAGCGTAATTAACTTCGAACGCAGAGTATAAAAATATATGGACGACAAGGGAAGCTTGTCCTGCAAATACGTCGAAACCGGTAATTTCGGTCCTATCCCTTTCCGTTCCTGGGCTTCGCGCTTCCCCGTTTTTTATTGGGAAATGTAATTATTTCCATCGATTCCTCAAAGGGAATCTACGGCTAGAAAACTAGCAACCGAAAAGACAATGGCTTTAAGTCAATCCCTCTTTTCATTAAAGTTAAGGGTTAGATATTTGTCCGCCGTCTGATGGTATAAATGATGTGAGATCCGCTGTTCGGAATGGAACGGACGGCCGCATAGAACGGGCTAGACCGGGTCAGGAGGAATGATGTAGCTCTATCACGTACATAAGAGGGCGTGAACACGTGGAATAAGACGTCGATTGGAACTCGTTTCTATTCGAACAAAATAAAAAGAGAAAAGCGAACGTCGAGACGACATAGGCCGATCCGCAGAAGATACGGTACGGTATATACAAGGAAGTGTGTACACATGAAAAATATCATACAATCGCTAGATATAAAGGTCTATCGAAAGATACATTAATATCCATTCCAATGTGCAAACGTAACGTCAGCGAAAAATCTTTCTCTGTTCTCTCGATTGCGTCGTTATTTCCTTAAAATTATCTTCGAAGACTTTAATATTTTCGTGAATTATTTCTTCCTCGAAACTACTCCGTTTCCATTATTAATATTACACGCCAACTGTAACATATATTGTCAATTTATTATCGAATACGCTTTGGACGCATTATTGTTAAACGTTTAATTTTTATTACCACAGATAGATCCTTATTTTCTATGGACGTTTGCAAATTGACGATATGACGTAAAATCCAAAGCTTTTCTGCTCTCCCGATCACGTTGTATTATTTTAAAAAGTATCTTCGAAGATATCAAATTTTTATTTGTTAAAATATTCTCTTTTTGTAAATTATTTCTTCCTCGGAACTATTCCGTTATTAATATTACGCGCTAACGTATCGTCCAACTTATCGAATATGCTTGATTGTCAAGCGTTTTATTTTGATTATCCATATTTCTTACTAGCGTTTGCTAATCAATGAGAGATCGAAGTTTATATTTTTACAACGTGTGTGGTACCAAAATCTGAGTGTCTGAGTTTGAATATTAACGACAGGCGTGCATTGATTTTAATCTCGAAGTGTTGAACGCGCGTCAGTCGTGTTTCTCCGATTGCGTATGTCTGACCGGAGCTAAGTTTCCATAAGTAGGTACAAAAATGCATCGCAGAACGCAAAATAACTGGCGATATTAATAAGTGACACAATCATTTTCTACGATCTAGCGCGACCTCCTTTTTAAACGTCGTCGATTCGACCCAACCGACCGGGGAAGTTTTGCAATTGCGAATTTAATTAACCCCCTGCCTCCCCGTTAACGCCCTCTTTTAAATCGTATCGTTATTCGCTAAATATTACTTGGTAGATTTCTCTTTGAAACCCGCAGTCTGATTCTGAAGCTTACAATTAGCTAGGGGTCAAATTTGTATTTAAAGAAACCGAGTAATGCGTAAAATTCTTTCTCAACGCGGATACTAATTTACGAACTCCGTACCGTTAGCTTAGCTTGCGCAATTAACACGGCTGCTGGAAAAAGGGCGCATCGAGAAACGAAGCATTTTAGGTATAATTTTAAGTGTGTATAAGAGCAGGGAAATTATGAAAACAAGAAATGAAGAAATCGAGTGTTTTATGGATCAAACCAGCTGTAATGTTGACAATTCTAGCGAGAATATTCTCTTATGCACTATAATTTGCGGTTGCAATTACCAATGAGATAACACGCGTTTGCTTTTGAATATAAAACTAACAATAATAGAATAAGTCTATTTGGTCAAAGTGGATCTTGGGGACTAATAATATTATTACGTAAATTTATATTATTGTATGAATTGGAAAATGTATATAAATTCACGCAAAAATATCATTCATCAAGATTTTGGCCGAATAGACTTATTTTACCATTGTTAGTTGTGTATTTACTTATCAATCAGTTTCATTTATTAATTATTGCTTAAAATGTGAGTGAAATTCTACAGAGCGCGTATTCCATATTGTTCTATTAATATATAGGATAATGCACCTTATAAATTAAGAGCACTCTTGAGAAAAAAACGTGAGCCAATTTCGTCGACGAATTTGAGAAAATAAGTGTCATCTATTGATATGTCAAATTAGGAAATAGCTATTATTTTGCAAAATAAATATGTAAAATAATAAGTATTCTTCCTCATACAAAGTGACTACTACAATGAAAAAAAGGATATTGTATTAACACCATTAACTAATAGTCTAATTAAAAATAATCTTATTAATTCAATAATAATATTGATGAAACAAATAATATTTTATTAAAACAAGAAAATATGTATTTGTTTCATTAATGTTACATATTATTGAATTAACAAGATTATTTATTAGATTATTATAGCTATACTATTAATAAAACATCTTTTTTAATTTCACTCTCATTTTGGAGTCTTTAATTAATAATTATTTTAATTACAGATGGCGTAATTGAAGCGAGATTGAAGCGAGATTGAAACGAGATTGAGACGTTTCACTCAGCTTTGTCATATAATGGAAAGAGAACCGAAAGGACATTCGGTAGGTCCAGCACACCCTATATACGCACAAACATCTGTTCCTACGGCGCGAAATAATCGCACGCATAAATAAACCACGACAGAGTCGAGCGTGCGTGTCTCACGTGAAGCGGTGAAAACGTGACTTCGTTCACAATTCGGCGTTCCGAAAAAGTCACGGCGAAGCGATGGAGTCTTCCCGCGAGAATCTCCCGCGTGACATGCGATGTTTTGTACGCGTTCTCGATATAACATCTAAAAATTGCCATAAAAATATCATTCGCGATATCTCGTCAGCCGATTGACGCGACTTCGAGTATATCCAAATAATAATAATAATAATAATAATAATAATAATAATAATAATAATAATCAAAAAAGGAACATTCCAGAATTTTTGAAAACACATTTACCAAACATTCTCTTTCTTGAAATTATATTCCGCTGTGTGGGATGTGGGACGTGATGTCTGTCTGAAAAGGCGGGCGGTTGTTAAAAAAAAACTGGTTTTCGAAGTTGGCCCTGTGTTGCTTTACCGCGTCTAATTATCACGTTCCATGAATGAGTCCCATGAGAAGGGCAGAAGAAAACCTATTTTTTTTATGAAAAACAACGTAGGCTCGGAGTTTGAACGAATGAGCGGCGAAAGAAAGATAGAAAGCCGACCGTACTAAAAGCGGTTAATTTTTATTTTTTAAGGATATGTTTAAGCTGTACAATACTATTAACTAAAAAATAATAACAAAAATTACGAAGAAAATTGATCGAAATTTTATAAAAAATTTGGGTCGTAAATACGTCCTGAAAATTGTAAAAAGCAAAATAACGAACTATTTGACTTATAATAGCTTGTGCACCGCATTTTGCTACAGTTTTAGGTAAATAACTTTTACAAGTATATAATGGATTCAAATAAATTTTTGCACAAATGTTTATCAAAATTTTATTAGTATATGTAAAAAATTTGATTTATTTTATAATGCTACTTTCTTATCAAATTTGCAAATAAGTATTGCAAAACGCGATTTTACATAAAATCAATGTCAATCAAAAAAATTGAATATTTTAAATTTGAGTCCAGAGAATTGGACTCAATTTTTGCACAGATAATCAGATGTAATAATAGATCAATCTGTATTTTGTGAAATAAAATTCTATATTTTTGGTAATGCTTTGAGACATGACACGTTTATTTTTAAAGACGATCGCGCAACTAATCGGACCAAATCTGAATCTGACCTTCACTTGGCCTTCTTCTCTGTCACCATCACATTTAATTTCTCGTGTTGTGTCGCTTGGAATTTTAATTATCCGCTTGTAAACGTGTGAGTAGCGACGCATCTTTTTATTGTCACATTTTTGAAAAAGAAAGAAGAAATAAGATTGTATGACATTTCATGTAAAAAAAGAATAATCTTAAACACAGTGTATCTCTTTTTTTTAGCAATCTCAAGTATAAACGTGGAATGTATTTAAAAATAGAATTTATGAAATGGAGAGCCAAGATTCCTAAAATAACAAGCGATTACTACCATATCACGTAATCACGATTTAATGAAGAGTTCTTGCCCTTGGCCTTTGAATAAAAAATAAGATGAAGAAACGGCGAAGAATAAATGAATAAAAAATGTAGTACAAGGTGAAGAACGCTAGGAAATGAATAAAGATGAATAAACATGAGTAAAGATAAAATATAAATATAAAAGAATTAATGATAAAAGATATAAAATTTTTTTTTAATCTCTATATTTTTAAAAATTTATTCTTTTATTTACCTTGTTAATATTTAAACTGCAGGCATGGGGTATTGAGGTATTTTGTCGAAAACAAAGGGTCAACAGTTCCTTGAGAAGTCCAAACCTCTTCGATATGCCGACTTCTCTCACAACTTCATAAATTATTTGCGGTTTTTGTAAAAAAAAAAAAAAAAAAAAAAATAAAATGAGATAAAAATAAATAAACAAAAATAAAAGCAAGCAAGAGATTTCATTTTTCGATTATTATAGCCCAACTCCCGTCCATCGAGCAATAAATCCACGCGCATAATTCGTGTCTGCGGACGCGAGGAGGGAATGGGGCACATCAGATGTGTACGCGCGTGCACACGTGCACACGTGTACGCTGACCGCGCCGCAGTCGAGGCAAAGAGACCTGGCCGACCAACCAGGAAGCGATCACGCACCACCAACTGGTCACTCGCCGGAATTCTGTCGGATGCGATTACACGGCACGGTGGTCCGGTTTAAAAAAAATTGGGAATCCTCTCTCTCCGTTTCTCCCTCTCTGCTTCTCCTCCTCCCTTTCTTTTCTTTTCCTCTCTTGCGCGGATCGCCGATGTTATTAAAGTTGGAATTCGCCCGAGGTTCCTCCCATTCCGGAAATCGTACCTTATTCCCTCGAATTTAATTACGACAACATGAGTAATATTCACTCAGTATGTATAATACAACGTCTAAACGTATCGCGTTTCAAAACAACAAAAGGATAGGTATATAACAAACTTTTTACAATTCACGCAGATAATTGTTTTATTGGTACACTTATTGTTTACGAGGGATGTACAAGCAAAATAATATTTCAGAAATTGTAACATTCCGGATTTGTTGCCTTTTGTTCAGAGCCGTGCTATTTACTCGTTGTATATGACGCTGCTGAGGACGTAGGGCAGGAGCTCCGTGAAAATATCGACGTCGGGGTCCAGACACCGGCCGAGACCCTCAATCACCAGCATGCTGAGGATTACGCTGCTGAAGGATCCGTCCTGTTTGACTCGGTGACGAACCATCGCGGAGAATAATTCCGACACAACGGTACTTACGTTCACCTGCGGGTACGATCCGGGACGGGTAGCCCCGATACGTGCAATAATTACTTCTCTAAACAGGAAACGTACGTATGTACGCGCGGAAAGGCGTGCCTGGCGCCCGCGCGGTGGATCTCGCCGTCATGCTCTTTCGACGTTCGATTCTCCACGTGATCGAGTCGCGTCGCGTTGGACGGATTTTTCTGCGGCGTGGAAGCTGCCTATCTTTAGAATCGCAATACTCGCGATTATCCATTATCGCGGCGTTACGATACCGGTATCAAAAACTGGTTAGTCTACCCTATCGCGCGTGTTTTAATACTTGCGATGTACGGCCTCGTAATTGCGCGCCGCCGCGCGGGTATACGCGCCATGCGCGTTTTTCACGCGAGGCATTTCTCGGAGGTCGATTCATCCCGATCGCGAATCCGCGCGCGATCTTAAATAGCGTACCCGACAGCTCCCACTATATAATCATGGCGTTCGTATATTCGCGTTGTTACTATTATTATTATCATTATTCTCGCGCTACGATGATTCGACATAGTTGAAACGCCGACGGTACCTCGTACAATGTTTACGCGCACTGCACGATCGTTCAAGTCAAAATATAAAAAAAAACCAGGAGATCGATTCCGAGAAGCAATGCAAATCAACACGCACGAAGCCTAAAAAATTAATAACAGTCCTGTACAATTTCGATCGAACGACGACCTCGTGAATGGGAATTGCGAGGAACGTACGCTTCAGCGATCACTCGGGACTTCGAAGGGAATATCTGTTACCAACCTTAAACGGATTACAAAGGTGCGACTTGACGATGTTCTTCATTGAGCACGTGAAACCGTCCGGGTCGGGAGTCATGTGCGAGCTGTGCTCCAGAATATATCGCGCTGCCATTTCTCCCTACATTAAATTTTGCATGTCAAAACTTTAATTGCTCCGCATCGAAAAAAAAGGTCAAAAAACGCGCGAAAACCAATAATAATCACCGAAGTGAAACCGAAACGATATGCATGTAAAACATAAGAAAATGAAAAAATGACAGGTACACTGAGAAAATTTATAAAAAGAATTAAAGAGGTATTCTAGTCTATATAGAGGCCAAATTTTTATGCTATTTTTGCGAATTTTTTTAAAAGAAAGTATAAAGTTTTTTGGGACGGGGTTTTTTCCTACATATTTATACATATTTGAAGCATGTTTCAAAATATTCGTATTTAAAAATAACTATAAATAAG